CGTCCTCACCGAAGAGCCTTGCCCTCGTCCCGGAAGGTGTTGAGCCCGTCATCGCAGGACTTGGAGCGCTCCGTGGTGATCGCCAGCAGGTAGGAGGAGCGGCGGCCGGCCTTGATGCTGCCTGCAAAACGCCCGCATTGGGCCAAAGGGTCAGTGGGGCCGTAGGCTGGGGGCTTCCACGGAGCCCTCCTCTCTGGGCAGGGCCAGGAGCTGGAGCCAGCGAGAAGAGGTCAGACATCCGGTAGCAGGCCCAGCAGAGACTGTGGCAGCGAGGGGGAGGGTGGGGATGGGTGTGGGGAGCACTCACTGCAGTCCTTGGAGTAATGGCGGCCGAGGGCAAAGGTGAAGGTTGGGGAGGATGGGCTGGTGCCCAGGACGGGAGCCGAGTTCATGGCACTGGAGACCACAGCAGAGGCGGGGACGTGCTTGGCTTGTAGGTCAATGCTGGGGCTGGTGGGCTCATCTGCGAGAATGAAGGGAGTGGTGGGTGAAGGTGGCAGAAAGCTGAACCTGCCTGTCCCCCACCCCCAGCCTTGCCTCTGGGCCCAGACCCCATTCCCAAGGCCCCTCAAGTCTCCAGGGCCCTGCTGACAACATGCCCACAGCCAAGGGTGCCCACCAACCAGACTGTTACCATGGAGGCTCGGCCCCTGCCTTCCCCAGCACACCAAGGGCACCCAGGCAAGGGGTTGAACTACCCTTCTTAGACCACGCCCCTGAGGGCAGGGCTGTGTCGCCCCAACCAGACTGGGAGCTTCTTGGGGATAAAGACCGTCTCCTGCTTTAGGGAGGGTTGTTCCCCCTCAGACTGGGAGTATTTTGAAAGCAAAGATTTGCCTCCCTCTCAGACGGGGAGCTTATAGGGCTGTGTCTGCCCACTCAGACTGAAGGCTGGCTGTGGGGGGCCTGGCTGTGGAGGGCCAGGCCGGGGGCTCCTCACCCTCAGTCCCACAGCTACACTCCCGTGAGCTCACGAGCCTCGGCTCCATTTCTCAGCTCCTGGCTTCCAGTCCCATGACTGTGCATCCAGTCTTTCTCCCAAGCCCCTAGACCCAGCCCAGCTCACCCTGCTCCCTCACACGTGCCTCAGATTCAGCAAACCCGAGACCTTTCCCTGCCCTCCTCCCTCCCATTTCCAAACGGAGGCCTCACGCTCCAGCGAGGCGAGAAACCTGGGAGTCGCCTGGCCTCTCCACTCTCTTGTCTTTCCGTTATCCAACATCTGTCCTAGAGGCAGCAAACTTTCTGTATTCCCTCTGCTCTCAGGGTAAGGTCCAAACTCCCTGGTCTGACAAGGCCCCTGCAGACCCATTCTGAGCACCTGGAGGGGCATCCTGCCTCCATCATTTCAAGGTCCTTGCATACTCCAGTCTCTCCCCCTCAACATTCTTCCCCTAGCTAACTCCTTCTCCGTCCTTCTAGGCTTAGCCAAAATCTCCTTTCTCGAAGGTTCTCTCCTTGGCCACCATCCCAACCCAGGCTATGTGGCCCTTCCCTGTCTCCTAGAGCCCCCTGTACCCCCATCACACACTCATCCCACTGGCTTGCTCTTGTCTGATCATACATCCCCATGTTGGGCCATACACTCCAGGAGAGCGTGGAGCCTAGCACAGTGCCTGACACAAATACTTGCTAGATGGATGAAAGGTTGGAGGATAGATGGAAAGAACAAAGAATGAAAGAAACAAAGAAAAGATAGAAGGATGTAAAGAAGGGTGAAAGGAAAGACTGATAGAAGAGTGGAAAGAAAAAAAGAAAGAAATGAATGAATGAACAAAGAGGAGGGAGGAAGAAAAAAAATGGATGGATGGATGGATGGACAACGAAACAGACTGATCCCGTCAACACCCAACCCAGAGCTTTCCCCATGGTGAGAAGTGGGTGGGGTACAACAGGGCACAGATTACCAAGTCTCCCAAGACAGCCCCCTGCACCGTCACTCACCAATGAAGGGGATGGAAGCCAGAGAGTCTTCTGTAGTGGCCAAAGGGGCCACATTCCTGCCCGGGCGTTCCCCTCGCCCACTGGTCTCTGGCTCTGGGCACTCGTCACCAAATCCACGGTTCATCTGTCTTGCAGGGGGGAGCTGGACCTTGCGGCCCGTTGGCGGCTTCTGCCTCAGGACCACCTCATCTCGATGATCCTCGGCGGGAGGCTCCAGGGCCCGGGGACTGGGTTCTGGCCGACCAACCCTGGGTGGTTCAGAGGCCTCTGGTAGGAACGGTGCAGAGGACTGGGCCAAGTTGAAGGTGGGCAGTCCTCCAAAGGGTGAGTCCCGAAAGGAGAGTGCGTGCAGGAGGCCAGTCCGGCGCTGGAATGATGGGCTGTAGCTCCGGTACCCAATGTAACCCGTGTCATCCAGGCCCTGCAGACCAGGTGGGGGTGGAGCCTGGGGCCCGGAGAGGTCTCTGGATGGGCAGGCTGGAGTGCGGGCTGATGGACGCTGGGAAGTCCAGCCACAGCGCTCGAATCGGGGTGACACCAGCGCCCCTGGCCCCAGTGCCTCAGCTGAGTGGGTGGTCCGGCTCAGGTAGTCGTCTGAGCGAGCTCGGTGCCAGCCTTCCTGGCCCAGCTGGCTCAAGGCACCCTGGGAGGTGGAACAGGGCCACGGGTGGCGGGCAGTCATATCCTCTAACCGGTCTTGGGAGGCACTGCGGACCCGAGGGGGCATGGCGTGGCACCGTCTCTCCCCCGCCCTGCGGGGGACCTGGTTAGACAGCCAGTGTGACAAGGCCTGCTGGCACTCCAGTTTGCTGGGGAGCACCCGGCTGCCAGGCTCCGGGAAGGCACGGGGTGTCCGGGGCTCTAAGGGAAGGTGGGGGAAGGCACCAGGGCTGGGGCGGGGCTGGCTCATCCCCAAAGAAGGGTTGTCCGAATGGGTGCGGACAGTAGATGGGACGCGGGGCCCCGGGTCACTCCAGGCAGCAGGACTCCGGGGGTCACTGGGCAGTGCTGAGTGGGGCTCAGGCACCATACTGGCCCAGGCAGAGACCCGGGCTGGCGGGGCGTAAGTCTTCCGATGGTAGCAGATGGGGGGCGGCTCTGGGATGCTCTGGGCCTCTCCAGAATACGGCTCGTTCCCTCTCAGGTAGGCATCCTGCGAGTAGGCCTGGCGGGGGACAGAGGCAGGTGAGCAGGGCTGGACAGGTCCCACAGGGCCGGGCTGCAGGGCCCCGGGAGCTCAGGATGACAGGGAAGGGGACCAGGCAGGAGCAGTCCTGAGTGGGTAGGGGAGAGAGGGCGTGCTCCAAAGACAGTGGGTGGAGGACAGAAATAAGAGGCTTTTGAGAGTCACACACACACACACACACACACACACACACACACACACACACCCTCACTCACTCACTGGAGAAAGAGCCAGGATTTCTCTAAGGCTTATGACAAGGACTGCCCTTAGCCACAAACATTCCGACATCTGCTTTCTGGGGTCCTCCCCCCTGCTGGCCTCAGCTGCCTTCCTGCTTCCTCATGTCCAACAGTGCCCACAGGGCTGGGAAGTCCCACCAGGGACCAGTCAAGGTGGCAAATGACAGAGAAGGAAGCCGGTTAAGGGGTGTGTCTGGGGGGAAGGGGGGTGGTAGGCAGCCAGAAAGCCCAGCTGTCCAACCTTCCCCTGGATGGGGAGCTGGGCCTGGCCCTGGGCCGCTGGGGTGAGCAAAACCAGCTCCCCTCCTGCTCCCTGAGCCAGGTTGGGGGAGGGGCCAGACTGGCCGAGGGGCCCTGGGCCACCTCTGCCACCCAGGCCTGGAATTTGGCTCAGGAGCTGAGGCTGACGCTGCATTGCTGGGGAGCGGCAGGGCCGGTGCCCAGGAAGCCAAAAAAGGAGGCAGCCCCCGGGGCCGCAGCCCGGTGCCCTATCCCAGCCTGGCCCTTGATGGGCTGCCCGGTGGCCTATCTCAGGGTGAGTATCCAAGGGTGGGAGGGTGTAACCAAACAAGCGCGCGAACACACACACACACTCACACACACACACACACACACGCTACACCACAGGAGACACCGGAAAATACACACCCAGAAACACACACACAGACAGAGAGAAACACAATGAGACACACACACAAATAACTACACCTCCAGCCCCGACACCCACATCACAGGAGGAGAAGGAGCTACACCACACCCCGCACACTGAGCCCCTCGGGCCAACACCGCCCTACACCACAGGAGACACCGGAAAATACACACCCAGAAACACACACACAGACAGAGAGAAACACAATGAGACACACACACAAATAACTACACCTCCAGCCCCGACACCCACATCACAGGAGGAGAAGGAGCTACACCACACCCCGCACACTGAGCCCCTCGGGCCAACACCGCCGGCCAGGGACACACATACCTCT